ATAATGATTCAAATATGATTTTTTATATGCCTTTAAAGCTAACTATAATGAATAAATAATTCTTCAAATATGTACACACACACGCACACACGCACATTCCACACGAACGCACGCACGCACGCACGTACGCATGGACGGAATTTTCCCATCGTACCCGCCACCTTCATTGTCCCATCAGTGCTAGTGACGGTGTTCACAACGCTAGCCGTCTCCAATTTCGTGAATAGCTACTATAGCATAAATACCCATATGCACGAAACAAAATAATTTATTAGCATCTTTTTAACAGCAGTGCCTTGCCTATACGAATATCAGCACCAGTAGATAAAATGGGCGACTACGGCTAACGTCTAAGGAAGACCACCAGTAGTAACTTCCGATCGACCGTCTAAGGCGGAGGGAGGAAGCGACAGAATTATACAGCACCCTTTCTATTGACACGTTCTACTATTCAGCAGGCACGCGCAAGCTTCTTTAGAATCGCCGGCGGGCGGATTCACAGCCGATGCATCAAAAACATCAGCTTTGAAAATGACGAGTCCGGAATGCATTCAGTGCTGCCACCTATCGTCGTACATCTGCAACGCGTTTTTCCTCATTTTCAATCCATTGAATGCGCGCGTGTAACGGAAGAACCACGTACAATGTAGACCGAACGCCGCACACCTATATAGCACGCTGGTTTCCACGCACGAGAGGAGCCGACGAAAAAGTCTCTTCTTTGAATGAAGATCGGCCAGCAAGCTAGGAAGAAGATATCCTACGCACACTTCCCCTGTGTCGTGCGCTTGTTTGTTGTTGGATCGAGCTGCAATGGAGCGCTCTCTTCCAGAAGCACGACAAGTTGTTTACATCAGGGATGAGGCGCGCATCCATGCATGCAGCAGCGACTCGCGTTTCCCAAGTATGGCTTCGGGCTTCAGTTACACGTCGTGGACGTTGACACCGTATTTCCCTGTCTCTTCGTCACCGTCTTGCAGTGCTGCTGGTGATGGCCGTCTGCAAAAAAAATGAATCATGCGATTATGGCCAGACTCGTAAAACACAATGCGATAACAAACACTCTCTTTGAAAGATAGATGACACATTTGAGAAATAAATCGCGCACCAATGATGGCATCCCGCAAATTATACAAGTGCACACTGATAAATAAAGGAGTGAGGGTGAGTCATTTCCGATAGATGCCTTTTAGCCCTTACCTAAACTAATTCAACTTGCCAAATGTTAACAAACCTGCGTGATTATAGATTATTTATTCGTTAATTATTAAATTCCTTTCGTTGTAATGTATTTTAACATTTAACATTTTAACATTAACATTGTATTGTATGTATGTAATTTATTTAGCTGCAGCTATCTAGTGTTATATGGCATTCACATGTGGCTAGGTTCATGCGGCTGGGTCGCGATATCTCTACACGGCAACAATTAAACAAAATTACTCATATAAACAGTTTGAACTTTCGGCCTGAATGCATCAACACTTTGTGTATGGCGTGGCAGGGATTTTCGCGATGGTCCGACGCCAACTTACCTCAGCATAACTGGTCAATTGGTCATGCATTCTTTTCACAATAGATTATTTAGATTGTAACATTCTTGCCGGTCAACAAGAGTTTAAGAAAACGATAGCCATCTCCAGGCTGTGAACTGAGGCTGACGCACACAAAGGGGTCATCATCGTGTACATGCGAATATAGGTCGCGGGGCAGAGCGCATTGTACGGATGAGTACGGTAGTAATGCGGCTATCAATGTGGTGAAAGCCGTAAACACAGGAGCCCACACACACGTCACACACACACACACCACACACACACACAATCACACGTTCACACAGCCACACACACACACTACGCAGCAGCAACACAGCACAACCACACGCGCGCGCACAGCCAACACATCGCACAAACCACACACACACGCGCGCGCACGACGACACACGCACACACCACACACACACACACACGCAGCAACTATCACCCACTGCACATACACACCACACACACAGCACACACATACAACACACCACGCACAGCATATATATATAATATATATAATATATATATATATATAATAATATATATAATATATATACAGTCTTCTTACGACCTTCTTTATCCGGCCACTCGGGACCGCGAGCACCCATTCGATATGGATTTGGCCGGATATAAAGTTATGCCTCAACACAGCAGCATTTCTATGCAGTTCAGCGAATGTTTATGGCATGTGAATACTGTATTTAACTGACCTCGTTGCTATAATTATTTGTAAACAAACTGTCCCCCCCCAGCCGTGTTTTATTTTATATGAGAATGGAACTAAAATAAATAACAACAGAAATTTTTATCGGAGGCAATAGCGGACACGAGCGACCAACACAGCACACGTACGCGTGGTACATCGCGCGAGTTTTAAGCGAGATTCTTAGGTGAGATGCAATGAAAAACAGAGAACATCACACCGCGAGATAGCGGCCCGTTAATAAGAGACTTCCGGATAACGGCCTAGCACGGTAAAGGAGGTCAGACTGTATATATATATATACCCCATTCAAAACGCAACGTTGATGAGGATGCGACGCTCAGTCGAAATAAAATTTCCGGGAATCCAGATTATAATTGTGATAGCCTCCGTTTTGTTTCGGAAAAGAGGAGAGAAAGAACATAAACCTTGACCTATATACGAGTTACGTTTAGCGTGTGTGCGGTTCACTCAGTTCGGCAGAGCGTAAATAATATTTGCTGCCAATGTCCACAGGCGAGACGCAATCTAAATATGGCGCCGACGTGTCGCCTTCAGCGCAGCTCAGTGGCCGCAATTCATTGTTAGTAAAAAGAAGCCGGAATAAATGTTTAGCTAGACGCAGAGCCTTGGATCGAAAGAAGATGGAGGAAGACCTACCCTGCTTCATAAACTGTTGCCATTCGTGTAAGGCAGTCTGTCTAATGCTGCTTAGATTGGTCTTAGTTCAGCATGGTCGGCGGCTGACGTGGTGGCTCTCTAATGGTTCGTGGGCTACACAAATCATACCGCCGTACGTTTACGTGACAATACGAGGAAAGCCATGAAAGTGCGCACTAAAACTATTCAATTAGTTTAGTCGTTGGGCGATGAGCTCGTGGGCTTATACGTCCTTTCTACGTTTCCCGTAAAAATTACGTCAATCATTACCGGATTTTAACGCATTTTGGGCTCCACCTTTCTCTAAACTCCGCCTCACCTCCACGCGTGAATTTGCCATCGTCGCGGTTGCTGAGGATCCACGATTTGTTGCTGATTGTTTGCTGTTGCCATGGTGAATTGCGGAATGAGGGCTTCCAACGCAATGTCGCGGCCAAAGCCGTTTGCCGAAACCAAAGTTGTTGGAAACCGCGTTTACCTTTAACAGAACCGCATATCCTATGTTACGGCCAACGAAAAGCTAAAAATCCAAATCACGCCTCCACCTACCAAACAAGTAATAAAAAGACACTATTAAATAAACGTATTATAGTATAGTTGATTAATGGATAATATAAAGACTACTAAATCAATCGTGATATAGTGAAAAGCTTCGTCACTCAGAAATATAAACGGTAATCATCGGTATACCTAGGTCTGAACGATCAGCCATGGTTTCATATTGACCAGTGAAGAAATCGTCAATTTCCCATGTCATTCAAACAAGTCATCAAATCAAAGAACCTGCGTAAGAGAGAAAAATAACATAAATAAATGTTGTATTTCTACACATATAGGCTACACATTGCACACATCACAAACAACACACACCACATCACGGACACACACACACACACACACACACAGCACAGCGCCACACAACACAGCACACACACCCACATACACACCGCACCACACCGCACACACACAACACACACATCATGGGGACTGCTTCCTTGTATCGCACCACACGCACCGGCATACGCAGGCGACGGCCGGACCACGCACGCACCGCACCGACGCACCACTCACACACACACACACACACACACACCACTATGCCATTATCGATCACGTGCACCTTCCTCCCGTTTCTAAATAAAACGCCCCACATACATCCGTAATAAAATATTATAATAATACATAATACAATAATATAATATTAATATACACTAGCAAGATATGGCGCCAGTCCTGCATATTCCTAATAATCGC